GGGGGGGTGTCCCTGAGGTGTATGCTTGGTGGAATGAGAGGCTGATGTTGGCTACTTGAGTACAAAAGGCTCGAAGGTAGGGCTGTAGGTCGGGGGGGGCTTTGTCGAGTACAGTGCTTAGGTGGCAATCTACAGCTTCTGCGGTTCCTCTGAAGAAGGTTTGGCCTAAAGAACTACGTTCAAGGGCTTTGGCAGTTGCTAGGACGAAGTGTTGTTGTATATTCGGGAGGGGGGGAATTGGGCGTGCTCCTCCCCTATCCGGACCTCTTTTCAGAGGCGACAGTAAGGCCGGAGGCCTCCTTAGAGGGGTCTCCATGGAGGGTAATCGGCTTGTTTAGTACAAGCAAGTGAGAGCAAGTGATTTAGAACAAAAAATTTGATCTCGAAAAAAGGTTGTTTTGACGGTTTTCTCATATATTGATAAAATTGTGGTTACTGGCATTATCTCTACGAATAGGAGTTGAAGATAATAATATGCTACAGTTTTCTATAGAAGCTATATGTTTATCCTAAGATTTCTTTCGGTGGAAATCTGCGTATTACTTAATCAAAAACCCTTCCCTTTGTATACAACAGATCGCAACTAACTCTCCTACTATCTCTCGACCGCAAGATAATGAATTAAACTCGTAATAATTAGAGTGCTACTTGCAACTATTTTGCGAGATTTACTTATATATACCGACCTACTTGATTTTACGACGATGATTATCCCTCTTCAACGCAAATGGCTCCCAGAAGCATTTGAAAGCACAAATGTGCAATATAAAAACGATTTATCTGAATCATTGTTTTGGTCTCAGGAACTGGGTATATTAGCTATGTGGATCGCTGTTCGTAGATAGTTTGAAACATTCACACCCATCGCGAAAGAGGGTTCCATTTTTGACTCTGATTCCTATCCACTTTGAAAGCACTACAGTTTCTGTTACTCATTGTATTTCTCACAGCAGACATAGATACTCAAAAGATTAGATAAACGTCCATTAACGAACAAGAAAAGCGAACATTTTCTTCCACAAAGACAGCAAGTGTTCTCAACCCACGCCGTACCTCTACCAGCCAGGGAATGAACGCTGCATATTAACTTAGAATGACCTTCCAAGCCCTCAAACAACCAAAATGCCTCCTCCTCCTCCTCCTCCTCCTCCTCCTCCTCCTCACCCCAACATCAATTCTCTCAACTCCAAATCCAGCAGCCAATCCCCAGACTATATACTGGACCACAGCAGCCACCGTAACAGTAACCGCAGCACCACCACCTCCGCAACCCCCAGACCCGAGTTTTGCTTTCGACGAGACGTTCAAGAGCCAGATACTTGCCGATCAAAACTGGTATTGGGCACAACATGATGCGGTTCCTTTAGTGTGGAACGAGGAATTGGAGGAGAGTAGTCGGGATTGGGTGGGGAGGTGTTATTTCGGGCATAGTGTGAGTTATTTACTTTATCATTTTGTGATCGGGTTCAGATAAGTTCTAGGGGAATGAGTAGAGAAAGGAGAGTGGGTAGTAGCTGATTGCGATGGTGTTGGGATGGTAGCACAAAGAAGGAGTAGGCGAAAACATTGCAGCGGCGTATAAAACCGTTGTCGACTCTGTAGATGCATGGGGCCTCGAACGAACGAATTATAACTATACCAAACCGGGGCTCTCGAGGCGACGGGGCATTTTACACAGCTTGTTTGGAAGGAGAGTAGGGAGGTGGGATGTGCGAGGATTGAGTGTCGTGAGTTCTTTTTCTGTCTCATCCCTTTATTTGCTCCCCAGTATCTCGCTTAGGTCTTGGCCGAGTTTCTACGCTCATAGGAGCTGGTGGGAGATGAAATACTAACCATCAGTCAAAGCCCCAACAAACCGCCCAATCCTCTAGCCCCAGCCTGGTACGTGGTCTGCCAGTACTACCCGCCAGGAAATATCCCCGGCGACTATCAAAAACTCGTGACGCCTCAATCGATAGGGTTTCTCGCTCTTGGTATTGGAGGGACAGCAGATGGAAGGTTTACTATTAGTATTCCGGATACCGAGAACAATGCAAAAGCGGTCTTGAGAAGATCATGTATGGATTTTGGTATGGCTGTGCTTGGGATGTTGGCTGCGCAAATGCTGGGAATTTTGATTTAATAATAAGATAAGGGCGCAATGAAGGTGGTTGATGAGGGATGGGGATGATAAATTGGTTGGTAGAGAGAGAATTAGGAAATGTATAGAAGGGCAGGTATAGATCAAGGATTGAACGGATGGTTGATTGGGTGTGAATTAGAGGGGATCAGCTTTGGTTGTTTAGTGGTACCTTCAGGTTCTCAATCTCATCCATTTCCAGAATGACGGACCATTTCCCCTCGTATAATGTGGTGTTATAGAATAAATATAGTAGGAAGAATACAGGCACTGAAGACGCATCCGAAAGATTTGGCAGAATGAGTTGTATTCGGCATACTTCTGCCCCACACCCTTGCATCACAGAGATGTGCAATACGTGGCTGCCCTGCGCTGACCACATTTACACAATTTGTGTACCCTTCTTCTCCCCGTCGAATACATTAAGTGAATTTACTCAACACTGGAAAAACTGGTGGAAATGAAAAACTGGAAAGTGAAATAGAGTGTGCTTTTTGGCTCCCAGAGCTAGAGATCTTGGCACTGACATACTGTGTAAATGTTAGTGATACGAGGGAAAAAAGCCTGAGAGAAAGACAGAGAGAAAGAGAGTAAGATATTGATGCGGCGTTTAGCAAGTCTGTAAATGTAAACTGAACTTCCATCATCATGGCTATAGGTAATATTTGGTTTGCTTTCTGCGAAAGAAAAGACGGTGCAAAGAAATAGCCTTACCTTGAGTCAATCGCCAAAATATCGATGCTGAACGGATAATCCGAATTTAAGGAAGTAGTAGTCGATGATCACTCCCTCTTCTCGCCTCCACGAATATGATGGTAGGGACTACCCAATCTGAGAGATCCGGAAAAGCAGGTTCTTCTTTACCACCTGTGAGCAGGATAGAGGTTAGTTGCAACTCATTCATCAACTGTAACAGGAACGCGGTACACTCACTTTCTAAAAGCTCCGCTCTTTCAGCCATCCGCTTTTTTCCGAGTTCCTCAATTTTGAGTTTGATGTGTCTCGCTTATTCAGCCCAAGTGGCCTCTTTAGAGGCGGACTGAAACATATTCTCGCCAGATCTGTAGAAATCTAATGGTTTAGTGGCAAAATCGCCGGCTTTCTCCTCTAGAATGCCACGTCTGGGACGTTCATCTGGTGATAGAAAGATGAGGTCCTGTTTGCGATCAAAGATGCCAAATTCCTCAACAACAATCAACATTTCCTTCGCTCTACAATCAATGGCAAGGGCCATCGAACACCAAATCGCCTCCAACCTGGCCAATTGATCAAGAACTCTGTATCCAGTAGCTGAGGGTGCCTTCCATTCATTCAATCTAATGGCAATACTGTGAAGGGTTAGGTTTCTCCACCTGACACACCCCTCCTGACCAATGATCCAGTCTTGTTTTTGATTGCATTTACCACAGTACCACGCAACGTCTTGAAAGAGGCCCAACCTAGTACGGGATGAAAAATCTTTGTCGCTCATAAACCAAAACGTATCGAGCTCAATCATGAAGTGATTTCTTGCTGAGAAAATCTCACTTGTATTGCGCTGGCGTCTACCGTCGCCGTTGCGATCCATTCCAATGTCATAACCCTTCCCAATGCATCGGAAGTAGTCCAGTTGTAAAGAACGTACCACTTCTCTGGCTTCTTTGCAGGTATTGAATATTGGGTCGATTCTTGATCTGTTGCAGTGCCGTGACTTGCTTAAAATATAGCGCGGTCTATCATCTTTAATAATGTGTACCCTTAGGACCAGACAGGCCATTTCCCAGATAATTCTATAACGTTAGTAGGCTAATCCTTTGGGAGAGGGAGGTGGACTCACCCACGGAGCTCAAATGGGAGCTCAGGAAATTGAGGGAACTCTACATCTGCATGGTTTGGCAGAGACTCCCGCGCCTTCTTGTGAAGATTCTGGACTTCCAATCCTCCTGGATCTGAAGGCAGATGCTCCATGTTTGTTTGGAAAGTCTTTGGAATTTGACGTGGATTGTGTCGGATGAATCTTGAGTGACGTGTCGGTCATTTTGTGGGTTGAGAAGCAAAGGTAATGTAGATTGAATGTTTGTGTAACGTCCTCTCACCTAACCGTGCTACTAGCACGTAGCAACCACTAGCGTATCTTTACTTAAGGTTAATATTCGGCACCTTTTCTCTGGTGCAGCAGTGCTTGGGGTTAGGGCCCAGTGGTATATTTGAAGGTGAACCGACCGTTAAGATACCACCATCCTTGATACAGAACGCATGCACAACAAATATACAACAGCTCCGATCCCCCTCAACTTGACGATGGCGAACGCATCACCACCTGAGATTGAGAATCTGCTTCAGGAGAACAACCGACTTACGAAAGAATTACAACATGAGAAGATCGTCTTTGCGAAGTCAACAGAAGACCTACGTGGAAGGCTGTGTAGAGAGCGCAAGGCCTTTGACACCTTTGTGAAGTCAACCGATAAGGAGCGTGAGGAACTATTCAAGGAGCTCATCAGAGAACGCCAGACGTTTAGCAAGCTTGGGGGTACATTTGAAAAACTGCTGAATCAGAAGTCCGTCTCTGCTAGTTCAGCCAGAGAATTTCATCAACAGATCAATCTCCTTCAAACTTTGGTATCCAAACTCCAACTTCACTCTCACCAACAGACCCCAGATGTGAGTGATGTCTCAAGTAGTTACACGCAAGTTTTTCCAAGATTTGGTTCGCTTCCATTAGAATTACGCAGGTATGTCATTCATCTGAATACATAGCCTCCCAGCATATTGACAAAGTAGGATGATTTGGATGTTTGCCTCTATCGCTCCTCAAGTACATGTCATATCACATGACACTACAGCTAAAATTCCCAACCGCTCAAGAGCAAAGCCAATCATGAACACTTGCAAGGAGGCCAGAGATGTTGTTTGCAAACTACAACTTGGCTACACTTGTGCAGATAGAGATCTTAGCGGCGTTAGTGGGCGCATGATACCCCAGTCTCTTCAGCACCGGATATTTTCCACATACGAACACGACAACTTTTGGTTCACTGGAAAATGCTTCAGCCTGATTTTGAATAACTATGGGTCCTGCTTTGCTTACTGCAACATGACCGCTGGGAATCGCGGATCTGAGTTCCATGAGAGCAGATATCACCCTGTTCCAACTGGAAGACAACCACGACCACGGCTACGTAGAATGCCAATGAACCTTGATGATTTCTTTGTACCTGCATCTACAAAGAAACGTGGCGCAAATCGCTTTCTGGGAAACAGCTGGACACCAGTGTGGGATTCGGCGGCTATCTATGGCAAAATGGTGTTGAAGAGCTTCTACTTGTGGTCGAGAGCTTCGGGAACTTTAACTACGAAAGAGATGTCGTTTTTGTCCCACCAGACGAACAGGGGAGGGCGAACATTTTGCATGGCTGGCGCAGACGCAATGGCGGCGATTCGCGCGCAGGGTTCGCTACAAAATGGGATTTTTCTGAAAAGATCTTGTATCATGAGTTGAAAATATTGAGATCCAGGCGGTTGAAAGAAAGAAGACTTATCTTGGAGAGTAAGTGCAAACTTCGACTCCATCAATTTCAAGTTCTTGGTCAGCTACTGATTATCTTGTGTTGCATAGGCGACAAATACACCGAAGAACAGAAGAGGCTGGCATTAGGAGGGTCTGATTTATCAAATTGGGTGGTTCCAAAAGTCGGATTTGTGGTGGCAAGCAAGCAAAATGATCCACTCTCACAAATATAAGGAGATTACAAGATGGCTTTTGCGGTTTAGCAACAGGGACGCTGGCGTAATCTGAATAGTTCTTTTGACCCAATAAAATTCTCATCCCAATGTCCTAGAGCATCATGACATTTAATTCAGTGACACTCGGGTTGACTGCGGAAATAACCAGACTTGATCCAAGTTTACTCAAAGTCTTTAGTCCAAAAATAGACGTCATGCCTTTTTACGTTTGAATATCTTTTCTAAGTTCACAGTAGAAACTCGAAGCCAAGACGAAGGAGATCCCATAATGATCTTTTTCCAGGAGTAGTTTATGGAGTTGCCTGGGTACAATTAACCGTCTGCCGGGGAAGGTCACCCGGAATTTCGCATTTGTGGTTATTGTGGCGGGTATGACTGACAGGTTTCTCTACAGGTGCGGGTTACCAAAGAGATTGAAGTCGAGGCTAAGCGCGGGACTGTGGCCTTGATATCACAAAATGGCAGTGGATTAGCATTGTCTTCCTGACTTTGTGGATGTCGTTGTTCTGCCTGTATACCTTAATGTATAGACGCATATAAAAAAAGCTGTCACGGAGAAATGGGCTGATGTTAAGCCAAGTTGAATGAGAGCAGGGTACTCGCATTCAAAAGAAGCAGCGACTATGAGAACAAAAGTACAGATAAATTAGGTTTCTCTGGATATCTTCCATGCTACCAGAAAGTTCACCTGCAGTAATCTTACTCTGACACTTCCTTGAGCCTGTGCTCCTTCCCCTCAACCACCTCTAAAGCCCTGACTGTTGCCCGCGTGAGCGAGCAGTTCAGCTACAGGAAAACACTTATTATATCTTATGATGCCCCCTTGAAAACGTGTCGACCCACCTTGCACTGTTCCTAAACAATCTCCACACCTGGAGGCAGAGAACACACGTCCTTCCCCTTTCTCGCTTCGACGAATCTGAATCTCGGAAATATATATGTAGAAAGATTGATCAAGCCTGGTCGCTGGCCTGCTGTAATTTCCTGGGGAGTGGCGAGTCCAACTACAAAGGGAGTTAGCGACTATAGGAACTTGTTATATTTGAAGCCACTTACGCGACAAAACAGCTGTTCTGAACTCTGAGTGTCTGGTTCTGAGTTCCTCCATGCTTTCATTGAGAAATCTTTCTGATTCTGCCCACGTCGATACATTCTGCACATCAGACCCAAAAAGAGTGTTTCCATCCCTCCCAGCTCGTACCTGTCTTAAGAGTGTCTTCCTAGATTGTTCGCAAGAAGGGGTCGTGAAAATAATGTCTTTCTCATGACGAAAGTCACCAAACTGCTCAACCACCAAAAGAATCTCTTGCACACCATGGAAGATTGCAGTACCAAGTGTGCCTAATACGTCAACAGTCTCAGACCAAGCATAGACGTGTGTACATTCCCAGCTCTGCTCCCAAAGAAAAACATGTGGTCTCCAGTCTTTCAGTGTGATCGCAATCCTACGCAATTGTATAGAACCTCCAACTACATCTGCTCTTCCCAAACAACCAGCTCCACAAGTTCTGACTTCCCCTACTGATGGGAATTTTCTGTGACATCTACCGCAGAACCAAGGATATTTGACGAAGAGGGCAGATTTCTTCTGGGAACGTACATGCCTATCTTCCCAATCATTCAAGATCCAAAAGGTATCAACAGTCGGTGAGAAGTAGTTCGCCAACTGCATAGGACTACCGTCGTACACCTTAGGGACCGCAAAGTAGCTTAGGGAAAGGGTGGAAAGGGCAGCTCTGGCATCTTTGCATGTGCTGTTTATGATTTTGAAATTTGATCGATCAGTGTACATAAGTTGTGACACAAGAGCCAAAGCAGCATGAGGGAATTCGGTCGGACCATTATCGATAATATGCGTTTTTGGTGCTAGGCAGGCCAATCTCCATATCATCCTATGGCATCAAGATTAGCGAAGAACATCATGAAGAATGGAGAACTTACCAGCGCAATTCTATCGGCAGAAGTTTGAATTTTGGGAAGTTGCGTACTTGGTTGCGAAGCAACTTGTTTTCCCCAATCAACTGTATGTTTTTCTGCTCAAGCTCATAATTACGGAGGCGTAAGGCGTTTACTGTCTCTTGCAGCTCTACCATCTTCTCAGATAGTACCTCATTTGGAGGAGGCGCCATTGTTGTGGTGGTGTGGGTGTGTTGAGGTGGTGGTGTGGGAAATTCAGGGAGATACGCCGCCCGCTTTATCTAACATGGCGACAGGTATCTTGCTATCTAATCTGCGTGCTAGACAGCACGTAAACGCATATATCACCTGATTTTCCGTCTTTCTGAATTCACCCTACAGACATTAGCGAGAGCGTCAGTTTAGTTTTACTATACCTTACTTAGAGACTATGAGATACTAATGTTAGCATTCACGTTGATCCTAACGATCTACTATAGTACTAGTTGTATAGTAGATAGTTGTATACTACACTTATAGAACCTGCTTTTATAGTTAAAGTAAATATTCTTAAAGGGGTTCTTCGCTTAGGTTAATTTAAGATAAAACAAAGTATTTCTACCTATAGTAATTAACTATATTAATGTTCCTAGTAATAAATAATGTTTTTAACCTAAATTACGTATAATAAAGTAGTAGTAACCTTAGATAATACTTATTAACTAGAATTACTATATTAAAATATTACTTATTTAAAGTTGTTTTATAGAAATATCAATAAAGTTAATTAGGGATAGGTTGTCCTATTTTACGCCTATAAAAGAGATATAATCCTAAATTATATAGAAGGTATATAGTAGATTAAAAGTAAAGAATCTAAAGTTTAAATATATAAATTTATTAAATTAAATAACTTACTATTGTAAGAAAATAAAAATAAATAAAATAATTCTAGCTTAATTTAAGTAAAATAAGTTAAAGTTTTACTAATTTATAAATAAAGATCTGGCTTAAAACAAAACTATTCAAAAGGTTTAATATAACTTATCTAGATTAATTAAAAATAAAAGATTATAATTATTCTAAGTTATCTTTATTATATAAGACTTCTAGAATAATAATATTCGACGCTAAATACTTATAGGTAATAGTTATAATATATTTAAATAAATAAAAAGTAAAATTTAATAAATACACTAGATTATTTTAGTTAACTTATACTAAAATAGTTAAATTAATTATACAAGATAATTGTAACGAATACTCAAACTGGCTAACTAAACTTGGCTGGGTGTTCGCTGGTTGGTATGCTATGATAAGAAGAAGACTATCGGGTTGTTCACTTGGAAGTGAACTCGTTACTTGTATCAAAGATGTCAAACTAATATGATAAGATTGATAACTAAGTTGATAACTAAGTTGAGCACGAAGCTCCTATCTAATGGCAGAAGTGCCAGTCTTATATAGAACCTTCGTTCTACTGGATCCATCGGGGTCCATCACGTGACAACGACCAAATGAAATCCATGGATCGCTTAGCTGGCCTAAGCAATCCCTATTTGCTATAAGAAACCTGGATGTGCCTGTCGAGG